GTGGTGTGGGAATGCATGCAGGCATTGGACACACTGGGTAAAAACAACCGAGTCACCGTAACCTGGGTACCAGGTCACNGATGAAAATATTCATCTGCAGTGACAGCCAGGCGGCGATACACGCCCTGCAAACACCCAGTACAGAGTCACAGGTGGTGTGGGAATGCATGCAGGCATTGGACACACTGGGTAAAAACAACCGAGTCACCGTAACCTGGGTACCAGGTCACCGTAACCTGGGTACCAGGTCACCGTAACCTGGGTACCAGGTCACCGTAACCTGGGTACCAGGTCACCGTAACCTGGGTACCAGGTCACCGTAACCTGGGTACCAGGTCACCATGGGATTCTGGGTAATGAAGAGGCAGATAAGCTGGCCAAGGAGGGTACAGAAAGGGTGCCCTCACACGGCCTACTTGGCATGCCCTTCGTAGTGGGAAAAACTCTTATTAAAAATTATTTCCAGCTGGATCATGTCAGGCGTTGGGAGAAAGTTGCGACCTGCAGACAAGCGAAACTGCTTATGAGAGGGCAACTAAGAGTTAGGACCAGAAAGCTTCTGGAGTTGCACAGAGGGGATCTGAGGGTAGCAGTAGGGCTCCTTACGGGTCATACAGCTCTCAGAGCTCATCTGTTCAAGATGAAACTTGCAGAACAAGAAGACTGCAGACTGTGCGGAGGCGATAAGGAGGGCATCATCCACATTTTATGTGAATGCCCCCTATTAGCACTCCGTCGCTATAAAATCTGGGGCCAGGCTTTCCTGGAACCAGAGGACTTACAACAAGCGGCTGTCACCAGCCTTATTAGCCTAGTGAGAAACACAGGGCTGGGGCTGTGTGACTGACCGAAACTAAGGCGGATGCTACAAAAGATCGTATGATTTAGGTGACTCTGGGCGCTTTAAGTGACCAGCCGCGCATTTTCTATTCTATTCTATTCTATTCCCCATTTTGATCATTAAACGATTTTTTTCTAGCTCCGTTACTAAATATACTTTATTTTAGAAAAAAAAATTTCTAAAATCTAGGGAATTTCTTTCCTTTTTTGGAGAGGGCATTTTGCAGAGAGGGGGAGGAGGGGTTGCGAATTGAGAATTGACAACCAAAAAAATTGAGTCGGTGAGTTTTTCAAAAAAATCTCCAAAACTAAGGGAGATAGCGAATTTTTACTGAAAATTTGGGGGAGAGGGAGGTTTTATTGAATTCTCGATGTACAACCCTCCCCCTCCCTCACCCTTCCACAATTTTTCAGTAAAAATTCGCTATCTCCCTTAGTTTTGGAGATATTTTTGAAAACCTCACCGACTCAATTTTTTTGGTTGTGAATTCTAAATTCACAAATCCTCCCTTCCCCTCTTTGCAAAATCCCCTCTGCTCACATCTAAAATTTCCGATATTTGGGCACCCCTCCCTTTGTTTATATTGTAACATGATAAAAATCATGTACTGTTCCTCGCCTGAACTGACCGCGGATCATGGGGGGAGAAATTAGTCGTTTACCCCAGCGAGGAGTCGGATCACCCAGAGCCACAACTGTCACTTTAGTTTTATTTTTTTTTTTTGACTATTTTCCTTCTGTCCATCATTCTATCGAACTCGGTCGATCGCGCTCACCGTGGATTACGTGAGCTTCGCGACGAGGGGAGTGGAGCGGAGCCTCGGGGAGAGCTACAAGACGGTGCGATATCTGAGGAGCAGCACACCGACGAGCACGCACCCACCGAGTCTGGGAGACTCACACCACGGAGGACGCGAAAGACGATCGTAGCACGCCAGCAGGCATCACAGGCCTCTACGTGCGAACCCCCACCACCTCACCGATGGATCGGCGGCACAAGGCCGTCCAGTAAAAAACCGATGTTACAGCATTGAGGGAGCATCGGATTATGTTGGCTTCTGCGCCGCTCAACGCGGATCACATCCACCGACCGCGAGGCGCAAGTTCCAGTTTCGGGGCCTGAGGAATTGGGAATTAGGACCATTTTAAAATGCGAAAGTCCAAAATTGTCGAATCACTTGGATTCTTCGCGCTTATCACGTGATCGGGTGGGGGTAGGAGAAATTGAGAGGTTCCTCGGGGTGATGTACGGCCCCGACGAACACTTCGCTGGGATTTCGTTCAATAAGGTCGCTGTGCGCTATTTAAGTTCNGTTTACCCCAGCGAGGAGTCGGATCACCCAGAGCCACAACTGTCACTTTAGTTTTATTTTTTTTTATTTGACTATTTTCCATCTGTCCATCATTCTATCGAACTCGGTCGATCGCGCTCACCGTGGATTACGTGAGCTTCGAAACGAGGGGAGTGGAGCGGAGCCTCGGGGAGAGCTACAAGACGGCGCGATATCTGAGGAGCAGCACACCGACGAGCACGCACACACCGAGTCTGGGAGACTCACACCACGGAGGACGCGAAAGACGATCGTCGCACGCCAGCAGGCATCACAGGCCTCTACGTGCGAACCCCCACCACCTCACCGATGGATCGGCGGCACAAGGCCGTCCAGTAAAAAACCGATGTTACAGCATTGAGGGAGCATCGGATTATGTTGGCTTCTGCGCCGCTCAACGCGGATCACATCCACCGACCGCGAGGCGCAAGTTCCAGTTTCTGGGCCTGAGGAATTGGGAATTAGGACCATTTTAAAATGCGAAAGTCCAAAATTGTCGAATCACTTGGATTCTTCGCGCTTATCACGTGATCGGGTGGGGGTAGGAGAAATTGAGAGGTTCCTCGGGGTGATGTACGGCCCCGACGAACACTTCGCTGGGATTTCGTTCAATAAGGTCGCTGTGCGCTATTTAAGTTCTTTTTTTTCGCTCTTCGAGCTTATTTGATCGACGGAAGTAAAGTACGTGGTGGTGTTGTGCCCGTTGGTTCCGGCTTTATCTTCCGACGTCGCCGTACTGAGGGTCCAGACGAGTCTGCCTGGTGTTCTCGCGAAATCACGGTGAGTGTCTATTTTCCTTGTGAGTGCACGCGTCTTTCCAGTAGGGATTCCACTCCGGCGCCCATTTTGGGGCCGTTTGAGAATGTGATAGAGTCTGCTTGTGACGCGGCACTCTGTAGCCTCCAGCTACCTCTTGATTGATGTCATTGTTAATTTCGCTACTTAATTGTGGTTACCAATCTACTTTTGTGGGGAAAACTAATCCCAGCTCATTTAATACGTCGACCTTCACCATTAACTTTTATGTCGTGGCTCTCGCGTCGTCGTCGCTTGCGGGTGATCCTCGCGTCTTAGCGTCTCCCACGCACCTTTAAAGTTATTATTATTTATTTTTGTTAACTAGTATCACTAGGTTAATTACATTTTTTTTTGGTTGTATAGCGTCTTTGCTCGCGGGAGTCCTCTGCCGCACATGTAAGAGATTAGACTGAACTCATTGGATTAAAATTATATATATTTTTTTTGTTGTGTAAAAGTNATATATATTTTTTTTGTTTTGTAAAAGTTTGCATATTGTTGAGTTCCGCTCATTATAGCCTGTTCCCACACGCCTCCGCGGTTATCTGAGCTAGTCGTGGGACGCGGCTCAACGGTGTGACCTTGTCCTTTGGCGGTTAAAAGGACTGGCGCCCTTTTTGGCATTTTGTCTCCTCTCGTTATTCCCGTCGTTCTAATTCCGGGTCGAGAGAGTCCAAAAGGGTCGCTGAAAGTTCGTGGAGAACCACGCGTCTGAATCCCGCAGACGCACTTGGAAAAATACCTCACAATATATATGTATGTTTTCTAAAATTAAGAAAAATGCAGCATTGGTTTTAGAAAATTTTTGTTCTTAAAAACAATTTCCAAAATCGTTAGTTTTTTTTATCCCATCAAGGATAAAGCTTAAGAATTGGAGTTTCGAAAATCGAGAAACTAGTTTCTAAAGCTAATCCACTTTTGTTTCTCTGTGCTGTACTTGCCTCTCCCATTTAACCCTCGAGAGTACACGGGATTCTTCCGATCACTGCCCTGATGGACCCTTAAAAATCAAGATCGCTTCAGTTCCCTAATTTAGATTTTTTTTTGAGATACGTTCTTCTGTTACGAATACGTAATACACAAGCGTATCTTGAAAGAGGTATACAACGGGCGATTATTGCACAAAAAATGTTTAAAAAATACAAACATTTTGAAAGTTTTTACAATGTTCCGAAATATACGAATCTAGATTAAAAGTGGAGATACGCTGTTCACACAAATGATGTTAAGTTGCCGACATAATTATTTGACCATAATCAAAGACACCGATAACTCCATGTGACATCAACTGGAATATTTTTTTTTTATTTAAGCATCAAACCTTACGGTTACATGGCTAAACTGGAATATTAAAGGTATAACTTATCCACGGAACTGAAAATCAAAAAATCCCAAATTTCGTCTTTACGAGCTTTTGTTTTTAAGTCAGTCTCGATTTCTGAGGACAGAAATTAAAGGCAAAAGGTCGTACATGGTAAAAAAAATGAAAAATTTTGTCATTACGACCTTTTGCTTTTAAAGAATTTTTCATTTCTGGGGACATAAGTTAAAGGCAAAAGGTCGTATATGCAGCTCACCATCAATCTGAAAATGTAGGTATTATAATAAGTTTCTCCAGTATTTTCACGCAGAAGTGTATAAAAAATGAGTGAAGATACGACGTTCTCGCTTTAAGAAACTCGGAAAGTAGCATCTTGGCGTTTACGACCTTTTGCTTTTTGACACGCGATGTGACTGTCAAAAGTTCTCTTTGACAATTGACGGCAATTTGCATAGAACACACATTTGGAATAACTACCATGACACCACAGTGTTGCTGCTGATCTTTCGAATTGCAGAGATATGCATAATAAACTTCACATTTTTAGCTTTGTTTCTACGTTGATGTCCGATTTTCTGTTCACGGAAGGGACGGATGAAATAGTACATTACATGCCCGAGCCTTAGAAAACAGATCACCGTCCCCCACGTGCAAGATTGCCTCCCGAGCCGAAGGCGAGGATGGCAAGCACGTGGGCGAGGTTGATATGTTTTCCATGGCGAGGTGTGTATATTAATTTTCGTGTCGAGGTACCTGAAAAACACCATGACACCCCATGACTGGGGTTTTTCAGGTCCCGTGACACGAAAAATAGTACTTTTCGTCACTAGGCCGGAAGCAACTTTTCTGACAAATATGAGTTTGCAACGCAAGCCGACTGGGAGGACTGCAATCATATGAGCTAGAAGAGTTTTTTCCGGCCGGGTAATGAACATTATTTGTTGTCATTTGTCCATAGACATATAATAATAACGTATGCTGGCTTACGGACTAAATGATGAAAAGATGCATTCCTGAAGTTTGAAATTAAAAAAAAAGAATATGGTGTGACATCACAATCTAAGCAACACCCCCTCCCCCCTTTGTCACAGTAGTCACGAAATGCAAACCTCTCCCGCTCTAATCGCGTGACGTAATATTTGAACGCTCTCTAACAAGACGTGAACATCTACATTTCGATGAATTAATTGAATAAAACAGGTTGGCAATTAATTTGAATTCAAAATGTCAAATCAATTCCTCTCCTAAATTCAATCAAGTGTACCACAATCTTGTCATCGTGAAATCATTTGTATCACAGGTAATTTGTTATCGCACCAATTTCCCAATAATCATTTCTGTCATGAATTGGTAAACCAGAATAAGTGATTTTCGCTTAGGGTCAATTATTGATGAATATCTTGGAAATGGATATAGTTAGAGAAATTTTTGTGAAGAGCTTTCTTAGAGCTGACATTTGGCTCTATAAAAACAATTTTTATGAAAATTTCAGTATCTTTCTTCCTTTCCAAGATATTCATCGATGATTGGGACTAAGCAAAATGCAGTTATCCTAGTTTACCAATTCACTACAGATTTCGAACTTTGAAAACAGATTTTATCTAAAAATTTCAAATGAATTCTTCAAATTCTTCAATAATTCAATAAATAATTTCCATTTTTTGGGCTCACCTTCGTCCACCTCGCTTGTATGTATTCCAATCAAGATAGAACACCCAGTACAAATAAACCAGCGTGAGGTACCTCAACCATTGCCCAAATACTAAACAGTAGAATGTGATCATCCACCCGATGAAACTTCCAAAGCCAAGCACGCAAAACCAAGCGCCGGCCGCAAGTGTCTGCAGCCGTCTCTCGAGAGGCACCCTGAGAGGCGCAAATTTTACACCCAACAACTCCATGTGCCGATTAATACAATCCACAAGTTGCGTTTACGACCGTATAGCTTCAGCTCGCAATATCTTTAGGACTTTATAATTAGAACACAGCACTCTCATTGGTCAACTGTCACAATACGTTTTGTTCTCCAGCCCCTAAATAATTTCCCCTGAATGAAGAAAATTCAATCGTTCATTAGGAATAAAATTATACATCGTCTCAAATTGGCATTGGCTCATCAATGTTTAAATATCACCAAGGTATGGAATGTGGAATGGAGACAATTTATCCGATCGAATATATTGGAGGAAAAAATCCGAACAGAACTAAACGAATCTGCCGTTTGAAGGCGCGTGGTGTGACGCATCTGGTCTGTGCCATCTAGATAACTATGACTAGAGTACATATGTACCAGTCTCAACGCGACAAGTATATTGGTGAGTTTTATCAGAAAAAAAACTTACAAAGAGGCAGAATTTTTAGAGAAATAAATTCATCATCGGTTTTCGTGTAATGCGCAGTACAAAAAACGTTTTTACCGAAATTTCACTATCTTTCTTAGATCTCAATATATTTAGCAAAAACTAAATTGAAAAAATAGTATATTTCCCACCAAGGGAGGGAAAATAAAGGAGTCGTGCCCACGTGCAGAATTACACACTTACAGGTAAGCACGTGGGTAAGGGTCCTTTATTTTACCTCCCGTGGTGAGAACGTTATTTTTCGTCACGGCGTAGGCGGAAAGGCAGATGTGTCCTTTCCGCCCGCCGTGGCGAAAAAAGCATTGATCATATTCCCACTTTTATAAATAATAATAATCATAATCATAATAGTAGTAATATTTGAGACTCACCGGCTCTCCTGACTCGAAAACTTCTGACACTGAATACTTCCAAATAATATTATCTTATCACCCAGCTCATGGAGAGTCACAACTGATTTCCGAACTGACTCCCGAACCGTCACACGACGCTATATTTGAATTTGTCTAATCTCAAAGTCTTCGAGTATCCATGGGGCCATTTTTATCGGGTCTAAAGATTAAGTAGACGAGAAGTTGCACGGTACACGGGCAGATGCCGATGGTTCTTCTTTTTATCCTCACTCAAAGATAGAGAGGCAAGCACCATAGATGCGGATGGTTAGTGGTTTTACGAATTGTGAATGATCATAAAATGCAAACTTCGAGGATCATGTACAAATCATGTTCATTATGCTAGTTATTGCATAATGAAGTGACACGAGGTCACTTGGATGATGTACTCTATTCACGATTTTTATTGTCTAGGAATTTTTCTTGTTGTAATCGTAATTTTTGTGGGCTAATGTAGTGAAGAGTGAAATTCATAACTTTATAATTTTGTTTATTTTGCGATTATCTCAAGAATGAAGGGTTCGGCTGGAAAATTTTAGGATACATTACTTATTGGCAATTTTCTCATCGACAAAGAAAATCTTAAAACAATTTTGTTTCAACCCAATATTTTCATAAATAATTGCGTAGTTAAGCATGTTTAACCATTTTTAGCAAATCTTATTTTTGCATGTTCAAGGAAAATTCTATAATTTTTTTGGCTGATAGCAGAAATTATGAAACTAACTTCTTTGATGGTAAAAAAAAATTAATCGCAATAGTCTCGCCAGAAATAAATGAACAAATTTTTCCTTATACACGGTCTCTTCTAGGATTTATGTTGAAATTTATAATTCACCTACTATAAGACGCTAAAAATAGAAGGTAATGTGCATAACTATACTGAATCGAATGGCCCGAAAAAAATTGGGGTTCCCCCGCAAAGAGGAAATATTTACAAGATTCTATCCCATATAAGCGCATGTTAGCGCATGCGTTTGGGGCATTTTGTCCACTCCATTTCTAAATAATAAACGTGGGTTGGTGGATTGAAATTTTTATCAAGATAAAGGGAATAATTTAATCTCTCAGTTGAAAAAAAAAAACAATTTTTTTTTAATACTTGCGATTTTGAATAAACATCCTTAATAGATATCTTGTCTGAGTGAATGAATGAAAAATCCATCGAAATATTTTTAAATCAATTTATTTTGTCTTCCTCTAGAATAAATGTTGTTTTTTTAATGAATTCGTATCCTTCTCAATCAATAACCACCACTTTTCTATACAATATATATTATTCATAATTCGGAATAACAACAATGTCGAAGAGTGAGGAGAAGAAAAATTGAATTATTTTTCTATCTCACTCTCTAATTCACTCTCACACACATACAACTTAAAAAAAAGTCAATGACAACTGCAAACATGTACTCTCATCTATCATCAACGGATTGGGGGATTATTAATAATTTCACAGAAACGATGGTTTGAAAAATCCAAAAACATTTGCAGATTACCAAACACAACCAAATGATAATTTTAAAAATATGTGATGTGAATATTTGTTGATTGAAACATATTCTGAAGCAATGATGAATTCTCGATTGATTTAGATGAATAAAATGGGGGAGTCGAAATCATTTATGCAACAAATAGATTGTCCGATTGATTAAGCTACTATTAGGTCGAGTTAAATTAAATTATGAAATGAAAAACTATGATTAGTTCATGAATCTGTAGACCTGATAATATTTCATATTTCTATGGGGTTTCTCTCTGAGTGTTCCAGCTTTACTCAATATTCTAGTCAAGTAATAATTCATTAGTCGAAATTAATTAATAAAAATCATTGGAATGAGGAGCCACTATGAGAATTTAATTTTTCGTGTTAGAAGTTTAATTATCTCGATAACCCGTTGTTTCTTGAACTTTTTTCCCAAAAACCAGTGATAAACAACCGAAATAAATAAAAAATGAAGGAGATATCTCTCATTTCACAAATTCTCAATATATCTCGTCTCTCCACTTAACCGAAACGATAAAATAAAGAATGTAAAACGCATAAAATAATGACTGTGACAAACAAAAATCAGCGGAATGAATTATCGAACAGGCTCGATTGGTCAACATGAACGCGAGACGCATTTTATATATCTATTAATTGATAATATTTCTTTTTTATTCAACTTTATTTGTTTAATCGTCAACAACGGCACGGCCTCTACGAGTAAGTGGCGCGAAGCTCTTTTGACATATTCTTTTGCTTCATCTAGCCTACTCAGTTACTTTTTAATAAATCTCCTCGATAAAGTTCAGATTAATTTGTGAATGACGAAATAAAACTAAATAAACTGATGCAACAATTCAGTTTTTTATGTCTTATTAAATAATTAAGTATCTCGATAATGCATGGTTTTTGGTAAAAACATCTCTCGACGTTTCCTCCTGAAACCACTCATCGTCGATATAATCTCCTCTCCTGAAAATTAATCTGAACTTTTACATAATCTAGAAACGAGATGTCTCCCCTGAATTTCCACACTTTTACATAATTTATCCTTCGATTTCATATTCTTCTATTTCCACTTCACGCAAACACTATAATAGCAAAGTCAATTAATAAAATATTGATAATGTACAGGTAAATCGCATATAGACTCTGTTTTCAACGTTTTTCCTCAGGTTTGTTTTTATACCATTTGTATTTCTCTATAACAACAATATTTCGACGTACTTTTTACGTAGTTTCAATACCACAGGGGCAAATCACTCCTGTTCATCTAAACGTTATAGGTACTCTAAAATATTGACGACGTGCTCATATCTCTCGGTTTTTTATTCAAGAAAAAAAATGAGGTCATACGAGTAAAAGCCATAACAACGAAAATCTCTTATTTCCGGTATTACCCCATTTTTTATTTTTATGCTGATTTTATGCTATTTGATAAAGTGAGGCTCGCGCAACGTCGCAAAAATACTGATTCACCGATATTGTTTGGCAGTCAATAATATCTAATATCTAATTCTTCATACGTTCGTGTCTATCGGCTATGGGTTTTAGTTAATGATGTTGGGTTTTTGAATGAGACCTGATTATTAAACCTAATAGAAGTTCAGGATCTTTGGAACATAATGCAATATTTTTTGAATAAAAAATGAGTAGTTTTCTAACAAAAAAGAACTGAAATTGGAAATCGATTTCTTCTGCATCTGGACTTTTTCCACGTTGTCCATTTATTAATTAGCTGAAATATCACAAATGAGATCGGGTGAAAGACGGTTCTATCTTGTTTCCTCTAGTACAAACAATGTTTTTTGTCAGCATTTCTTGTCTCATGCAAAAACCCAATCGTCTCGGAAAAGGTCAGAATACTCGACTCATCATTTCCGTCAGCAAAGGAATTGTTAACTCCCTAGGAGCTTCATTCTCTCTCGCAATTGATTCACAAAGATTATATTGTTCTCTTTATATCTGGGCTACACTTGGGAAAAAATTGGTAGGGTGAAAAAATGCTGTTTCACGGTAATTTTTTTCTCTCTTTGCGTGCGAAGGCAAATTTAAAGGCGACGCGGGCATTATTAAATTTACGATTTTTTTTGTTCTTCTTTCTCTTGAAGTGGGAATTTTTAATTTATTGTGTAGTTGTCACCTCGCTGCGGTTACGTTAACGGTGAGGGAGACTGGTCTGGCTGGTAATATCTCATTCCGTTTATCTGGAAAGATGAAGGAGTTATTAGTTGTAGACATATTCTCGTTTTATGATTATGTTTAGTGTTACTACGCTGTTTTTAGCGATTGTGAGTTATGGGAGAAACATTGTGAGACGTTCTTTATTGGAAATTCAATTTCAATAAATGAAAAATATCTTGAGGTTCTCTCCCAAAATCACTCGTTATCAATTTTATCATAATTTCGCATTTATAATTTATAAAAATAAAAAGTTACCCTCTTTTAAAAAAGGAATGTAACATTTTTGTCAGCAATCTATTCCGCCATGCTAGACTTAAAATTATTTCCATCCTAAACTTGAATATCTTGTATAGTAAGATTAGTATATTTCTAACCTAGGGAGGGAAAATAAAGGATCCTCAGCCGCCAGTGCAATTACCAGCCGAGCCGAAGGCGAGGTTAGTAAGCACGCGGCTGAGGGTCCTTTATTTTACTTCCCGTGGTTAGACCGCGATTTTCCGTCTCGGCGTAGGCGCAAACTCAGAGTTACCTCCCGCGAAGCGGGAGGGAAAGGTAACTTTGCGCCCGCCGGGACGGAAAGTAGATTGTGCACCAAGGGAGGAAAACAGGACATTCCAACCCGCGTGTGGATTATTGCCCTAGGCGAAGCCGAGGGCAGTGAACACGCGAGTTTTGATGTCCTGTTTTCCTTACTAGGTAAACATACTTTTTTTCGTCATAACTGCACGGTATAGTTCGATTTTGCTTCGCAAATGCAGGGAGGAACGTGGATTATGTCATTACGACATAACCGAATAAGCCACTTTCCTCCCGTCATTTGGGGAGGAAAATCGAACTTTCCGTGCAGATATGACGAAATAGTATATTTCCCACTAAAGGAGGGAAAATACTATTAATACATAACTCCCGCGAAGCGGGAGGAACATGTGTCCTTTCCGCCCGCCGTGGCGAAATAGTAAATTATGTCATAAGGACGATAGGTCGAGGTTTGTGAGTCGTGCTGCAAACTTCACACGACACACAAACCGAGACCATCGTCCGAATGTCAATCAATTTTTTATCACAAAGTCCCGCAAAGGAGGGGTGGGATGGGGGCGGAGAAGGGAGTCCGGGGGGCGAAGCCCTGAAAAAAAAAATTCACAAAAGAAAAAAATATATAAAAATTGAAGTAATTTGTACTCTTTGTTAGGTATAAGAAAAATACTACAAAAACCTAGTATTTCCATGAAAAAATTCTACTGAATTCGTATTGGAACCCTTGAAAAACTCTATTGAAGTTTTGTGAAAATTCTATTGGTTTGTTGTGCTAATTCTATCGGAGATCATGCAATTTTACCATCTCGTATTCCTAAAAGAATATTTAATAGAAAAAAGTCCATAGATTTTTCATTTCTTCATTCTTGGATACAAATTTCTCAAATTTTTATGGAGCCCACCTCCCCCTCGCTTCTCACTAAATGAAACACCAGAACAAACGTAAACAGTGATAATAATGAGTGAATCGGAAATTCTCTGTCTAAAAGGATGATTCTAATGAAAATTGGATAACAGAAAATTTTCGATCGTGAATGTGCGGAAAGCATAAAGAACAAGACGGAGGAATGGGGAACAGGGGCAGTGTGAAACAGCTGGTTTGAGGTTGAATTGGAAACGCTAAATATCAAAACGCCATCTATGAATAGCGGAGATTGGGCTGCACACAGACAGTATGCAACCCAATTTGGGCTTGTGTTAGCGTGTATATGGGAAGCCTAAAATCGTCCATATTGGTGAAAACGAGCGCCGCCATCGGTAATTAGCGGTCCCAATATTTAACGAGTCTACCCAAGTAGCAAACCTTGCGAAATATATCTGAAAGTATACCAAAAAGGCTGTTAATGTCTGTCCAAAAAGGTAACTTGTGTCTAGAAGTCACCTAGAAGTTAACTAAAAGTTATCGTATGACTGCAAGATACCTTTTGGACGGACATTAGTCTGCCTTTTTGGTATACTTTCAGATATCTTTCGCAAGGTTTGCTACTTGGGTTGGAGCGCTAAAGCGCGACATAAAGTCAGCCGTTCCTCTTTATCAAGTCCATGGCTGCTAATCGCCACCTATCGGCCGCAGAACAGGCCGATAGGTGCAGGTTAGCGGGACTCAGTGGGCCTATTTCCACCGTACCGAACTTGAAGTGTTGTTGGCGTAGACATAAATTCAAAAGAAGTTCGANGAGCGCTAAAGCGCGACATGAAGTCAGCCGTTCCTCTTTATCAAGTCCATGGCTGCTAATCGCCACCTATCGGCCGCAGAACAGGCCGATAGGTGCAGGTTAGCGGGACTCAGTGGGCCTATTTCCACCGTACCGAACTTGAAGTGTTGTTGGCGTAGACATAAATTCAAAAGAAGTTCGATGGATGTCCTTTTACCTGGAAAGTAATAGCCAACTCCCGTCTCGTTTCCACCGAGACTAATAGTCCAGTCAAAATAGTTTTTTAATGGTCAGTTGACGTTCAGTGCTCGGGGAGGTGTCAATCGATAGATAAAAATTCCATTATTAATATTCTCATTCGTATATGTGCGGAGTTTCCCAGTTAATTAATAATTAATTAAAAACAATCGAATAATTGTGCCAAGCCACTTTCTGTTCGTGATTTCTCCAATGTCACTCATTTAATCAAAAAGAAAAAAATACTACTTTGTAGCTAATAAAATTTGCTATCGAATAGAGTTAGGAACTTATATCGAGAGATGTACGGTTAATTTACGATAAATTTTACAAGTTCTTTTGGATAAATTAACGCCAAAGCGTCCGCCATTTAAGTCCCCCGAGTCACGTGATTCGCGCCATGCGCAGACTATTCAAACGTCCGCTCCGTGCATTCATCATCAACTCAGTTTTAACAACAGTGTAATTTTCTTTTTTTTTAAATTATTTGGACGCGAAATTCTGAGCACAGGGTCACGAGAATCGAAAAGAATATTTCTCAGTTTACAAATGGAAGGCCATACGTATAAAAATTGCGGTTTCTAAAAATTGGAAATGTCTATTAGCATTTAAAAAATGCCTTGAGGGTCATAATTGAAGATTTCAAGCTTCAAAATTGAGTCTTAAATTTATGAGCGATGAGAGTCAATCGTCACAGTGATATCAAGGTCAAGTGGAAAAAATTTGAACAAAACAAATATTTTTAAAAAAATAGAGGATTTATTTGTTTAAATTATTATTAACAGAAGGGTTCATCATTATTGTCTAGAAAAAGAACTTTTTAATCGTAAAAAATCTATGTAGTCAATATTATTACAGGCCTTAACTGAATTTATTAATATTGTGAGTAGTTGATTGAAAAATTACAATCACGATCAACAAAATGACTGGGAGGATTAGTAGCATTCAGAGTATTGGCAGCATAGATACATGAAGATCCAAAAGTGCGGGCTTCCCTCAGTCACATAATTCTGGATCCTGGCTTTCTGTAAAATAAGAAAAAAAATAGTTCATTAATTAATAGTCAATCAATTATGGACTTTTCATGAGCAGCATGATTTTGAAAAATATTTACCATTCATCCTTCGTTTTTTGCTTGTGCTCGGTCCACTTTCATCTTCAGCTTCATCGTCAGGATTTTCATCATAAACTATAAATGGGAAAAATTTAGCCGAAATGTTGATGCCTGTGTTGCGGAAACAGATTACTGTTGGTTTTGGTGGCCTCTCCACAAACACAAGTTCACTGCCGTACTTGGCAATGAATCTCTGCTTCAAGGTAGTTTTGGTTGTAGTCCAGCCCTCCATTTTCTCCAGCAAACTATTATAAGTGAATTGACACTCGCCACTCTCTTCCATGTAATGACACAAGCCTTCGAATGCCGCATCTAGACCAGGTAATCTCTGCTTTGGGTCTAAATTATCCTTAGTTTTATACCTAAACTTCTCGTAGCATTCGATGTGGTAGCGGGCTTTTTCCATGAGCAGGTCCTTTCCTTCGATTTTCCTCCTCACCTTCTCGGACCAATCGTCGTTGCGAGCAGCGATTGATTTTATGATGCATTCCTGGGCTTTTGGGGTACATATCTTCCGGCACGGCTTATTTAATGGCTTCCAGGGTTTGTGACACAAAACACAATCGTTTTCGAAAGAGAATGGCGGTTCAGCAGGGACTGGCTGAGGAGCCGCTGATTGTCCTTCATCAGTCACTTTTTTATTCGTTAAATTATATGTCACTCGACACTTCTCATGGACTTTGGTTTCTACCAAGCCTTCTAAACACTTCCACTTGTCATCTTTCAGTTTACTTCTGGCAATTAAACCAATAATGCCTTTTTGTTTCACTGCACTCACTCGCGTATTGTTGTCCAGCGGATTATTACAAATGAAACAATTCGTTGGATTATTCATTTTTCACACAATTAAATATGTCCTATGTGTTCCCAAATAGTTCGGTGTACTAACTACAAACGACACTGGCCCACTGAACTGTTATTCCGAAATTCCCCTCTGCAGAAAGTCCCGTTGTTAGGGAGTGAAACGACGAGGGTCCAGACAGATGTGGAACACCTGCTCTCCAAAATACTATTGGAAGGGGGCAGGTAGGAAAAAAATCCAAGGAGACTGAGCACAATCGACCACTTCACACACTGAATTTTGTAATCTAGCGATGTTAACGTTTCCACTTCTTGAAGTGATTTGACTAGAAATTCAGGATGAGACAGTTTATATATATATATAAAGAGGGGTGGGGCAGAAAACAGGGGCTATACAATTTGTAAATTGAGTCACGAGAAGTCCAGTCGACCGTTTTTGAATACCTGGAAATCCATGATTCATACAAATATGAATAATAATCTAGCAATCCCTTATTGTAGCCAACATCAAATATTTTGCCCAGGGGGAGGAGCACTAGCATCAAATATTTTGCATAGGGGGAGGAGCACTTACAGGTGAGATATCTTAGAAAGATGAGTCAGACCCCAGGGTCGTTGGATAATCCTTTTCAATGGAAATTTCTTCTATTATATTTATATTTATAAATTATTACAATTGAAATTCTTTTTGATTGAATTGTCATTTTTTTAAACTTTTTTTTAGTTTTTCGCTAACCCTGGAAAAGACTATTTTTTTTTAAAGGAAAGGGATTTTTTTTTTTTTTTGAAATTCGAGGAACGTAATCACGAGAGTAATTTTCCTAGTTTTTTAAGCGAAAAAGGGCATTTTAAAGGCCTCAAAAGCGAAAGAATTTTTGTTTTTTTTTCAACAGGGATTTTTATATATAATTTTTTTCAACATTATGAAACTTAGGACAAATTTCTAGCGATTGAATGAGAAAAAAACAGAAATCATATATTTTGTGGGAGTCACTCCCCTACAAGGACCCTCTATAATCTCCCCGAATATGGACTTCTTTTACTCTGCCCCCTGCTATTCAGGTAACGGCCCAAACAGCAGGTCAACTGCTCAGCCCTTCTGTCTATTTCTTGAACCTTCGATTTTCCCATTATATTGTCATCACCGATAATTTTCACACTCTATTTTGAAGCTTGAAATCTTCAATTGTGACCCTCAAGGCATTTTTTAAATGCTAATAGATATTCCCAATTTTTAGAAACCGCAATTTTTACACGTATGGCCCTCCATTTTTAAACGGATAAATATTCTTTTCGATTCTCATGACCCTGTGCTCAGAATTTCGCGTCCAAATAATTAAAAAAAAAGGAAATTACACTGTTGTTAAAACTGAGTTGATGATGAATGCACGGAGCGGACGTTTGAATAGTCTGCGCATGGCGCGAATCACGTGACTCGGGGGACTTAAATGGCGGATGCTTTGGCGTTAATTTATCCAAAAGAACTTGTAAAATTTATCGTAAATTAACCGTACATCTCTCGATATAAGTTCCTAACTCTATTCGATAGCAAATTTTATTAGCTACAAAGTAGTATTTTTTTCTTTTTGATTAAATGAGTGACATTGGAGAAATCACGAACAGAAAGTGGCTTGGCACAATTATTCGATTGTTTTTAATTAATTATTAATTAACTGGGAAACTCCGCACATATACGAATGAGAATATTAATAATAGAATTTTTATCTATCGATTGACACCTCCCCGAGCACTGAACGTCAACTTGCCATAAACAGACTTTTTCACTCTTTTTTTACTGGACTATAACTCATCGTTGTGTTTCCACCGACGAGTTACTTAAACTCTACTCATGTCCAACCCACCGGTGGAAATAGGCCCAGTGATGAAAAAATATTTTTTTTAAATTACATATATTTATTTTTAGAAAACAATATTTTCATTTTATTCATGTTCACTTTCAATAGTAGTAGATGATGTCATCAGGCGTGTGACGTATTGTCATTAATACGTCGGTCATTTGTTGAATACAATGTGACGTATTATGAATAATAAGTTACATTAAATTTATAATGTGGGACAATGAGAAAAGAAATATGATTTCTTTCTCATCGTGCAGGAGCAGAGCTCAGCACTCTCACGGTGCTATCTGAGTCCAGCTTCTGGGTAACGAAGCTGACTGTTCTAGTTGTGTGCCAATGATGACACTTAATTGTCTCTTAATTGACTACTTGCTCTTCAATTTTAGGTCTTGAGCGTTTTACAAAGACTCTACAAGGGCAGAGTACGATCAGGAGCACAGTCGAGCGGACCTCTAGCCCAGGCCTTCAGCCAAAATCGAGTCGAAGTCCCTAGTCGAGTCTTTTAATAACGCGTATACCAACCCATAATTAAAACAGTCGTGTATTTTAAACCATCAGTTAATATACCATACTTTTACCGATAAATACGCGAGTGTTTATTGAGAATATCACCAAGTAATATCCCTTCCTACCTTTCCTAACATCCCTACGAATGAGCGAATCCCCCATGAGCTCACCGCCGAAGTTGGCTGCGCCGCCCTCGTGAGTAACCGCCTGCTTTCCGCAACTAGTTGCGTAATGTACTATTATATGATACGTGCGTGTAACCGCATGGGTTTCAGTTGACTATAGTCAACTG